ATTTGTTTTCCAAAGGTTCCTGTGTGTAAGTTTGGATGTTGGGAGGTGGTGGGTCCTTTAAGAGATGGGGCCTGGTGGGAGGTTCTTATTGGCCCCTGCACTTATGCTCTCCCCCCTCACACAGGCTGCCCTGTGATGCCATCTGCAGTGATGTAACATAGCCAACAGGACTTCTACAGAGCTAGCAAATGCTGTTTGGACTTCAGCCTCCAAAACTAAATAAACACTATCTTTTCTRTATTAAGTGCCCAGTCTCAGTTCTTCATTATAATAATGGAAAATTGACTAATACACTGACCAAAGTAACAATCAAAAAAGAATAAACTTAAAATATTTCTGTAGGGCTGGGGCTGTAGTTCAGTGGCAGAGTGCTTGCCTAGCCCATGTGAGGAACTAGGTTCAATCCTTAGAGCACCGCATAAAATAAACAAATAAAATAAAAGCATTATATACAACTACAAAAAATTTTTAAAATATATCTATATAAAACTTTAAAACAGCTACATGAAAAATATATCATTAATAAATGGGAAATCTTTGAAAATACRTAACATGTAAAAAGATCTTAAAGTTTGTATTTAAAAAGATGATAAATAAAGAATATGAATAACCCCCAAATGACTAGCAAACATAGTTAATAAACACATCAAAAGTATTTAACCTCACTAAAAGGTAAATTGGGTTTTGTTGTTGTTCTAATTAATTACACGTGATAGTAGAATGCATCTTGACACACCATATATAAACGGAGTTATCACTTCTCATTCTTCTGGTTGTACATGATGTGGAGTTACACTGGTCATGTAATCATGTATGCACATAGGTTAATGTCCCATTCATTCTACAATCATTCTTACCAACCATACTCCCTCCCCTCCTTTCACTCCCCTGGGCGTAAACCAAAGTACCTAATCCAAAGTACCTCTTCCCTAGCCCCACCCCTTTATTGTGAATTGGCATTCACACATCAGAGAAAACAGGTAAACTGGGTTTTGTTGCTACTGTTTCTTTTAACTAATATTCAAAGCTAGCTCCTAAAGTAAGCAATCTGATAAAATGATTATGGGAGTGTACAATTACTATAGTTTTATGATGAACAACTTAGAATTGCATAGAAAAACTTTAAAACTGCATTTTCTTTGAATTAGCTATTCTTTTTCTAAATATTTGTCTAAGAAAATAAGGATATACTCTAAAATGTAGCTTAAAGGATAGTTCCCTATAAACAGAAAAAGATGGAGTCAGCTCTAATCATCCAATAATAAGTGATGGATTACAGATGAAGGTAAATGTGTACAGTGGAAGAAAAGAGTCATTAAGCATGGTTTGTAAAAATATGCTTACTAAATATAAGAGTATCACAAAATACTAAATATAAAAAGTTGTTAAACCATATGTTTAAATATTTATAAATGTGTAGGTATAGAAAAGTTCTGAATAGATATATTATCTTTTTTAAGCAATTCTCTCTCTCTCTCTCTCTCTCTCTCTCTCTCTCTCTCTCTCTCTGTTTTGATGCCTTTATTTATATGCAGTGCTGAGAATCGAACCCAGTGCTTCACACATACTAAGCAAGTGCTCTACCACTGAGCCACAAACTCAGCCCAACACTAATATTTATTAATTCAGATTATGAATTTATTATCTCCAATTGACACTGAATAACTTGGACATAATATCTTTTTAAATTTTAATAGTGGTTATCTCTGGAAGTCAGGTTTACAACTTTTCTTATTATTATTTATATCTTCCAGTTTGGGCACCCTAAAAATACCTTTTAAAAAAAGAATATTTTCAAAATTTATACAAATGAGAAATTGCACAGGAAAGCTGAGAACATTCCTAACAAAAGAGTCCCCTTATCTATGCATTTCTCATATTATATAGCAATTTGTTTAAGTTTCTGCCTCACTAAATTCTCACAAAATAGAAACTCGAGTCTTATTCATTTCCTTGCTATTTCTAATGCCTATTATTGCATGACATAATAGGCCAAATAAATAATAGGGAGTGCAATCTCTCCAAGATACCTGTTGGGCTCAGAAAACCATACGCCAAAATAGAACTAAGGTCTATCTGACCTTTAACACCTACTCTCACCCCTCAAACCTCAACTCTCCCCCCATCTCTCCTCCTCTTTGCCTCCCAAAGTGCAGGAAGGGGCTTTTTCTAAAGTTCCCCTGTGCCATCCTTAAATAACAGGGGATAGTAAAACACCATGTCACTGACTGGCCCTTTCTATTCCTAAATATCTAGCCAAGTCAAGGAAACTAAGACAGAGAATCTGAAAGAAATGTCCAGATACATATTATCTATTTTTTTTTATAGTGCTAGGGATTGAATCCAGGGCCTGGTGCATGTGAGGCAAGCCCTCTTCCACTGAGTCCCATCCCCAGATAACACATTTTCTTGAAGGACACTGACTCTCATGGGAATTAGGACAAAGTTAATGTTATCTGTAGAGAGCTGCCTTCTTGAAGGCACACCAAGTTCCTTGGGATGTTGCTAATACAATAGGACAAAGCAAGCTAAGGTGATGCTTCTTCTGTAACCTAAACTATAAAACTCTCTTCCTGCAATAATGGAACAGATCAGAGCATTGTGGAGAGGGAAGAGCTTGTCCAGGAAGCTGGCCCTGGATGAAGCATCCTGAGGTATAGAGGCATGCTGCTTTCTRGGGAGGTATAGGAGGCACTGCATGAAGCAGAGGTATACCTGTCTAGCCCATTGCAACTGGAATTCCTGGTGAAACACCTGTCTATCCTATTGCCACTGGTGAACATCTGGCTGTCCAGCCTGTCACCACTGGACTTCCCTTATAAACATTTCTCAATAAACACTATATGTCATATCCCACCTCCAGGTGTCCTCCTTGGTTTCTTGGCTTCTATCCCACTTGCCTAGCTGGTGGTAAACATTACATTTCCCTATCTACCTAAAAGCTGGATCCCCCAAAAGAAAGAAAAAAAGGCTAGAATTGACACCATATTCAAAGCCCAAGCAAACTTCCCACTGGACTACTGTTTGTTATTTGGGCCTATTCATCTTCCCTAAAATCATTTACTCTTTCTTTAAAATGGCCTTACATCCTTCACTTCCCTCTCCCCTGTGAAGTGGGTATTTAAGCTTCAACCATCTGACCCTCCTTTGAATTTCCTATTTTGTATGGTTCCTTTATTCTTGCATTTTCAAATTCATATGCCTTTTCTCCTATTAATCTGCCCATTGTCAATCTACTTTGTACAATCAAATTATTGAATCCCCAGGGAGTGGAAAGAAAGTTCCTTTTATACCTCCACACCTAAGGTTGAGCTTTTATCAGGAAACCCAAACAATCACCTATGAAACAGGCCAAGTTGGTCACAATGCCTCTCAGTAATGAAAATTTCATTTAGCCAGCAGCTTAGATTAAAAAAAAAAAAATCCTGAACTTTTCCTTGACTCCTCTTTTCTCTCTCTTCTTACATCCAATCCATCAACAAACCCAAGTGAGCAATTCCTGTCTGTTCTACAGTCAAGTTAGGCTCTCTAATTTTCCACTGGTTTAAGTCTACTACTAAAACAAAGCAAACAGAGACCCTGCAGACAAACATAGGCATTCTCAAAGCAGGTATAATTAAGCCATAGGTACCAAGGCCAGCTATGGTCCATGTCACAGTACTTTATTAACTAAAAATAAAGTACTTACACTGGAGAATGATTTCCCTAAGAACATTCTGGACAGTCTCATTATTACAACATTCACTTCTTTTCTGAAATACACCTGAAGCAGGTGAGTACTAACAAGTACCAGATCATACATTTTACCCTGTCATTGAAGTAAACTTATAATGATACTATACTCCTAATGACCCGAAAAGGCATGATTTAAAAAAAAAAAAAAACACCTTGGTAAGCAAAATAGAGTATAGAATCTGGACTATGAAGTTGGGTCCAACTTGAATTAGAATTCCATTTCTGTCAACTTCATTGCTGTGTGATCCTGGGCCTGTCCTCTAATTTCTTCTAAGATAGGTAACTCCATATCATCCATAAAACCCAGGTGAGAACACCTACTTACTAAAGTTGTTCTAAGGATTAGAACGTGGGTGGCAACTATAATAGCATCAAGTACATGGTGCCCTGAGCAAAGACAAGATGTGAGAAAACAGTAAGAAGCAATTGAACAACAAGCTGTGGAAGATGATTATCTGTTTGCAAACCCAGATGCCCAGGCTGCCAAATAGAAAACATCTCTCCAAGGAGTCTAACAGAGTTAGCTGGAGAATCTATTATGCGATGGGGACCTACACACGTGCAGCACACATGCACGCACACATACACCCCATATGCCTGCCACATTCCCTCAAAGAACAGTGTCATCTTAAAATTTACTTTAGGCTTTAAGGCTAGGGGTGTAGCTCAGCTGGAGAGTGCATCCTTAGCATGTGCAAGGGCTCCAGTATCACCAGTCCCCATCCAAAATATTTAGAATTTACACCAGCACTGACAAACCCAGTTTTATTTTTGTAGGTCTCATTCTCCTCAACCTATGCGTTGTTATCAATCCCAAATCTGACTTTCTGTAGCCTAAAAGCAAAAATGAAAACCTGAGACATGACTTGATAAACTCTTAGTTAACTAAAGGCTATTGTCCCCTGCAGCACCCAGGTAGTTTGAATAGTCATCTCCCACCTTAAGCTTGTCAGTGACAGGTCCTTTGTATAGCGCTTCTGTCGAGACTATGGCAATAAGTAAACCTCGAATAGAAATATTGTTTTCTCAATCTAAACTTCATCTTTCCTGAGTTACTCATCTCCCAGCTTGGGTCAGTCAGTCTCCATCTAGACTGCACCCCACTGCCCGGGTATCCCCGACCCGCGTCCCGCCTCCCAGACCACAAGATGCAAAGAGGAAGTTATGTGCCAAACCGACGAGAACGGCCAGGCTCGGGGGCTGCAGGCGGTCCCGGGCCCCTCGAACCACTCGGGGAAGGCGGGCGCAGGTTCCGCACACTGTACCTGGATAAAGCCCTGCTGGAACAAGGTGCTGTGCACGCAGCCGGGGACCGTCCCCAACAGATCCAGCGAGCCGTTCCCGTTGCGGATCCTCCAGCTTCCTCCTAAGCTGTAGCTGAGCGCCCCGGAAGTAGAGCCCGCCCCGCACAGCGCGAGCAGCAGGAGCAGGTGGAGGCGCATCTCGGCTGCTGCAGCCCCCGGACCGTGAAGGTCGGATTCTTAGCTTCAGGGAAGCCGCGGCGAAGCCACCCGTCAGTCTTGCTGAAATACCCAGGCTTTAGCCGTCCCACCCCGGGGCCCCGGCCCCGCCCCCAGGGCCCCCGGCCCCGCCCCGCTCCCTGGGCCCCAGGCCCCGGCCTCGCCCCCAGGGCCCCAGGCCCCGCCCCCAGGAGCTGGCCCCGCCCCAGGTCAGCGGGGCGCTCTGTGCCTCAGGCCAGGGACGCAGAGGCCCGGACCGCTGAGCCGAAACCCAGGCTTCGTAGGAGCGGGAACTTTGGCCTTCGTTAACGGTTCTACACAGGGGGATCTCTGCGGCTTGCGTCCTCCTTTAGAGTTTCTTCCCGCTTCCCCGGTATGTGTGGCGGAAGGCAAGAATGTTGTACGATAATTGAGACACACACATCCCTGGGAACAAAGTGGCCCAAAGTCTATGGGAGGTCAGGGATGGGCAATATGTGGAGACCGCATGTAGAGAGGAGCCTCACATCTACAAAAGACAGAAAAAGGAGACTTCCCACCACTTCCTTTCCCCGTAATGTGCACAGACCTTTGTCCATGCTTCAGGGGATTGTCTGGCAGTAGACAATCCCACCTCCTGCAGCTTGTCCCTTGGGTCTCAGAGCATATACCCCACTCTAATTTAAAGAGTGAACAAGTGCTAACAGTATATCATTTGTAAGATAGTTTTTGAGGACTTGAGAAAATGTGTCTGTTGCACATAGCACAGGGCCTGATGCAGAAAAAGCACAGCATGTTGGGTATTATTATTAGTGGCCTATGTCCTATGTTTCAGAACGCCCCACCAAGGAGGCTTCCGGAAAGACGTGTAGGTGAGTTTAAATTTCCCTGCCCTCACTACCTGTGGAATTGGGAAGATTACAAACTCTCCATTTCTTGAAGTAGAAAATATAGACAGGCACTCGTTTTTCAGGTAATCGGCCTAAAATGAGTTACCGTATACAGCAAACCATATCAATGCCAAGATATCCAAAAAATAACACGCTGGTTCAGGTCTTGCAGTTACATGATCTACCTGAGTCCAATTTTTGCAAAAGATGTGTTATTACAGTAATCCTAGGAAGTTCAGAGGAAATTTCACATTGTATAAAATGCTTAGTCCTGTGTTGATGTTATCTGCAAGTTCTRCCCTCATCAAATCTGGACTTTGTTCTACCTTCTAATGGCTTTGAAATTGCCTGAATTATAGGCACAGAAGGATACTTTACTTTTGCAGGGTGAGTATTTTTACAAGCCTGGCACCTTGGCTTAAGGTCATTATGGATTTACCAGACCCTGACTTTAAGGCTGGGAGATCTGCATCCAAAGAGGTCAGTTAACTTTCATGTCATATAGCCACCCACAGACAGGATCAGAACCTTCCTCTCCTGCCTCCTACTCTTCTTTCAGTAAAGCCAGTTGGTATTACAGATGAAAGGCAGTAGCTGACTCAAAGCCTTCCTTCCTTCAAGAACATTTTTACTTTTGATAGGAACAGAACTCTAAGCCCTAGTTTGTAGCATTAAATGGTCAGCCATGGTCTGTGCAATGCTGATAACAAGGCTTATATCAACAAGAGTGCCAAAAATCCTAGAGATTCCATAAGCTAAATCAAAGACAAATTCATTCAAGCCAACATGTGGATAAATTCTGTTCTCTATTAAGAAATGTTTAAGAGAAATCATTTTCTAGGAAAACAAAAAACAGAGACATTATTCCACCTTTGATTCCAGGGTACAAACATGGCATTGTTTAGGTTATTTGCACTTAGAGAACTGAGTGTTTCCGATAAAAATCAAAAGTCCTAAAAAGGGCTCTTCCTAAAATTGGGATTGGTACAGATGACATGATGAAGCATTTATTTTGTTATAGGGTAAGTTTTTGCCCATAATTTCCTTGAAGAAAGAATTTTATTTAGAAGAATCACAAAGCTTCTCAGCAGTTTAAAGTGATGTTACCAAATACAATTTTAAAAATAGTCATGAGTATCTACAAACTTACATGGTGAAAATGGACTCCATTTTTTATCATGTCTTTTGATGCTTTCCAAGATTTAAATTACTTAGGACAAATGATAGTTCCCTGATTTAAAAAGACAATCAAGTCCTCCAGAGGTTAAATGATTTGTAGGATCAATGTCCTGCCACAGAAGATCAATGGGGGCTTTTTGGCCTTTTATCATGTAACAATACTTCCTTCATCTATAAATATATAAAGTTGGTAAACTTATTAGAATACCATGGTATACCAAAGCCAAGGATGCTCCAACCCCATGAGATAAATTACACAAGTTATAAGATGAAGAAAATTAAAGTATAATGGCATGTTGAAGGTGTATTTTCTGTTAGATTCAGGGTTTGTTTAATCTCAAAACTGGGGTCAAAGTCAGGCATGCTGACACATGCCTATAATCCCAGCATCTAGGGAGGCTGAGGCAGGAAGATTGCAAGTTCTAGGTCACCTTGGCAACTTAGCAAGGCCTTCAACAACTTAATAAGACTGTCTCAAAATAAAAAAATTAAAAGGTCTAAGGATGTGGCTCAGTAGTAAAGTCCACCTGGGCTCAATTCTGAAGAAGAAGGAGAAGAAGCAGAAGGTAGAGGAGGAGGAAGAGAAGAAGAAGAAAGGTTTTACTAAAAGGGTTGCCAAATGGTCCATTGGCTCTAGCTCTCACCAAGCCATGGAACCTAAATAGTCAGAAGATGAAGTCTGTAGGAGAAGAGATCCAACAGAACTCCTCATGGAGGTTAGGAGGCTTATGAGAGCAGGAGCTGTACCTCACTCCCTGTCAAATGCTGCAACAGTGGGAATTCCCAAACTCAGCAAGAGTGGCAAAAAAAAAAAAAAAAAAACAGCCTGCAAGAGAGTGTTTGGGAAAACTTGACACAGTACCTTAGATTTTGAAGCCTTAAGTAGTAGAGCAAGGAGAGAAGGTAGTAGGGACTGTGTTTACCACTAGAATGTGATGTGTCAAGGATGTGTGACTTTCCTATAAGCCAAAAAGAGGATAGTGTAGAGAGAGTAACCAGACTTAAGCCAGCCTAATGAGAGACCCTATCCAARAGAGTCCAAGAAGTCAGCCAGAGGACACATGGCCAATGTCAGCAAACAGTGCAAAGAACCCTCAGCACTTCTCATCAAATGTTACAACCCACCTGGGAAGGAGGGGGCACCCAGAAGCATTAGAGCAAAGGAAGTTGTGCAAAAGCAAGGCAGGGTATAAAAAAAGACCCCCACCCCCTCTTCCATTGTAGTCCCAAAGCCACAGGTTAATCTTGAGCTGGATGGGTAAAAGACAGAAATGTTTGAGTTGGGTGTGAGACTAAAAATTTTAATTGAATTAAACTGGACTTTTTTAATTCCTAAAGACAAGGAAAAAATGTGAGATCTAAATGAAATAATCTTCAAAAGGCAGAATAGAGATCAAACACGTCTATTATTGAAGGTGGTAGATGAAGACACTAGTTATAATAAACTGGTTATAAAATCATCAGGTATCCTTCAGTATTTATATTTCTTTCATGAGAGCTTTGCCTGTTTGCTATACTGTAACATTTCTGGTACCATAAGAGATGAGAGTTTTAGTGACTCAGATAGGAAGAGAAAAATTTTATTATAACACTGTCACTATCTATGTTCTTGGGTCACCTAGGGTGAGGGAAAGAAGCAGTGATCAGGTTGTGGGCCACAGAGCTTGAATTATGATCAATATGATTAATACACTTATTATCTGATAGACATAAAAAGCTCATTGTACCTGACAGTCCTTTTAAGGTCACATGCAACATTGAAAAACAATGACCGTATACCAAGCCACAGAGAAACTACTAACAAATTCCGAAGAGTTGACAACATGGAAAAACAACATTCTCTGACTATAACGTAATAAATTTAGAAATACATAAGAAAAGGTATAAACAAAAATAATCCCATTTACTGGAAATGTTAAAAACATGTTTATAAAAAACCCATGGGTCAAATAAAGAATAGACTTTCAGTTTCTGAGGTGGACTGTATGGACCTTGAAAGTCATCACTCTATGAAAAACAAGTAAAATGCCACAACTGAAAATTGGCAATTATTCTTAGGACTGTCAGAGAAGTGAGGTTATAGGACAAATCACTGCCCCCCAAAATTGAATAGATAAACAAGTGAATACAGGCAATCACATCTTTCCCAAATAGACTCCCGACTTACTTCTCAGCTGAGAGCTCTACAAGAACCAGGATGGAAAAGGGAAAACTGAACTAAAATTGACAAATTCCTGGAGGCTCTGTGTGGATAAGTCTGAGAGTTAAAAACTCCAAAGGCCCAGTCCCTGGGGGTCATCTATTGGTCTGTGAATTTTCCTCTATGAGTTTTACTAAATTCTTCCAATGAAACCTGGAAAAAAAAAGTCTCCTCCTATATCTTGAAGAGAGAGGAAAAGAATCCATTGTGAATGTGCCAGTGCTTCTGTTCTTCACAAGACCTACCCTCAGAATAAACTACTTTACCAGAACTAAAACTTTGGGGGTTTTATCAGAGCCTAACCAACCTGGAGAAAGAAACATACTCATTTCCAGCCACCTGGATATGCTATCCCACCTAAAGAAGTGTGTGTGGGGGGGGAGGGGGGACACCTGAAGGCATTATGAAGGTCTCAGCCCAAGTAATAAGCTCATTAGGAGACTGAGACCTGACAGAGATGCAAGATGGCGGGCTAGAAGGAGGCAGCATTATGTGTCGCTCTATGACCTATGATTCAAGTAGTGGGAATACTGCTTCACTGGGAGTGATAAAGGATCCCTCCACACATCTGCTCCCACGCAGAAGTCACAGCCGCAGTGCCCACACAGGACTCCAGGGCTCAGTGTCAGAGCAGGACCCCAGACTACTCTCCCATGCAGGGCTCCCAGGTGCCAGAGCAGGACCACGTGCATCAGCACCTGTGCAGGACTCCTGGCCATCCACCTGCAGAAGAATCCCAGACAACACTCCCACGCAGGACACCGGGCCACTCTCCATGCACAAGAACTGTGGGTGCCACTCCTGTGTGGAC